GGGTCCCGGAAGGTCTTGGTGGCGCGGAGATGCAGCGCCCTCTACAGGGGAAAGGGGAACAAGGCCATCGGCACGAGGGGAGCCGGGTCCTGGCTATTCCCTCCTTCCCTAAGGACCCCCGACTCCACCCCATATCCACCTACTCTCCCCTGCCCAAGATCCCCCTCTTCCCCACGGTCCCCCACATCTTCCCTTTGTCCATGGGGTCGACCCCACACCACTCCTTCCCCCCCAGCTCACATCCAGCTTCCCCCATTTTCCTCCCCCCACCCGGACCAGATCCATTTCACTCCCTCCCCACCCCGGACTCTCCCATCCCCTCCACTCCCAGACAGCTCCATGCCCCAATCTCATCCCATCCCCCCACCGGGGCTGGGAACCCTCCAACCTCAGTCCCACCCCCTCAGCCAATAAGGAGGCCACCTCACAGCAAGGGAGCTCCAGCCCCACCCTGTCCTGCCCACCCCAGTGCAGATCGCGCACACACACACACACGCACGCACACAAAGCACAGATCGCACATCGACTGCCACCAGCACCCCTTTCCCACCCCCCCACTCACCTTCTCTGTCAGCAGAAAAGCATCCACAACGTCAACCACCTCCTCAAACACGCCAGGGAGATACGCACCCACTCGCTTCACCAGCCACTCCTCACCTGGGGGGAAGAGAAACATGGCTACACGTGGGGAGTGACGGGCATCGGCAGAGCTGGGGGGCGCAGGGCTGGGCTAGCAGGGGCTGCGGGTCAGGAGTGAGGGGCACCGGCAGAGCTGGGGGGGGCAGGGCTGGGCTAGCAGGGGGCTGCAGGTCGGGAGTGAGGGGCACCGGCAGAGCTGGGGGGGGCAGGGCCGGGCTGGCAGGGGCTGCGGGTCAGGGGTGAGGGGCACTGGCAGAGCTGGGGGGGGCAGGGCTGGGCTAGCAGGGGGGCTGCAGGTCGGGAGTGAGGGGCGCGGCAGGCCGGGGGGGGCAGGGCTGGGCTAGCAGGGGGGCTGCGGGTCAGGAGTGAGGGGGGTGGGGGCAGGGCAGGGGGGCTGCGGGTCGGGAGTGAGGGGCGCGGCAGGCCGGGGGGGTACCTGTGACCCGCCGGGTCCCCTCACGGTCCGTACACTCCTTGCGGGCCCGGAGCCGGATGGCCTGGTTGTGGCGGATGACGGTCGCCTGGCTGATTTCCACCACCTCCACCTCGGTGCGCGGGATGTAGGTGCCTGCGGGAGGCTGGCGTTAGCCGCGGCCGGTCGGGCTCCGCCCCAGCCCCCAGCCCAGCCCACTCACCTGGCCCCTCAAAGAGGAATTCGTCCCCAGCCACGTACTTCTCCCCCTGGTCGTCCTCGAAATCCAGCAGGGCCTTGAGGTGCAGGGCGGTGTCCGGCAGCACCACCTGCAGGGCCGTGATCCCCTGGGGGGAGAGGGGGGTCAGGGCGCGGCTCGGGGGCGCGCTGGCTCCGGGCCGGCCTGGGGCTGGGCGTTACCTGCTGGATCTCCTCCCCCGGGTAGAGGGGGAAGGGGGGCTGGCTGAGCCGGATCTCCAGGTCCGCGTGCCGCAGCAGCGCCTGCCCCGAGGCATCGAACTGCACCCCGGCGCCCGGCGCCCGCAGCACAGGGTTCAGCACTGCGCAGTAGTGCCGGGGGGGCACCGTCACCATCTTGGTCGGGGGGAAGACGACCCTGCGGGGCGGGGGGGAAGACGTCACGGGGGTGCTGGGAACCGACCCTGTGACCCCCCAGCCCCCATACACCCCGCCCCCCGGCCTCCCCCCACCCCATCCCCTCCCCTCCCAAGCAGCACAACCCCTCTGCCCCCGGGCCCAGGCCTGCCCCAGCTCCGGCGCCCCTCACCGCTCATTGTCCTGCCGGATGTAGGTCTGCGGCCCCACCTCCACGCGGGTCACGTTGGAGTTCTGGTCCAGCACGTGGATGTAGTGGTGCGGGGGGATGCGGATGATGGACTCCTCGGCCATGTCGGCTGGGGGGGGGGGCGGGGGATTAGCAGCCCCCGGATCAGCCCCAACCCAGCCCCCAATCCCAGCGCAAACGGAGCGACCGGCCCAGCCGCGTTCCCAGAACCCTCCGCACCAGGGCCCCGCCCGCGGTTCCCTGCCAGCCCCGATCGGACCCGACCCACGGCCCCGGACACCCACACTAGGATCCTCACCCCACCCCCGGAGAACTTCCCCTCTGGCGAGAACCCGTCCACTTTACAGCCCTAATCCCAGAGCAAACACAGCAACCAACGCCCAGCCGCGTTCCCAGAACCCTCTGCAGCAGGGCCCCGCCCGCGCCAGGACCGACCCCCCCCCCAATATCACACTCTCGGGGCACCCGCGCCAGGGCCGACCCCCCCCCATCCTGCATGTGAGGCGCCCGCGCCAGGACCAACCCCC